CACATGGACTATTAATTGTATGTAAAAAGGAATGAGGTGCTCATACATGCTGCAACAGGGATTCACCTTGAAAACATTAAGAAGCCAGACACAAAAGGACAAACATTGTATGATTCCATTTAACTGATCAGTCCAGAATAGGCAAATATATACAGAAAGTAGATTAATGGTTGCTTAGAGGCTTGAAGACTAGGAGATTGGAGAGTGATAGCCGAAGTGTACAGTGTTTTTTGGAAAGTGATCAAATGAACACCTGATTTATAATAAAAGTGAAATTTCAGAAGACTAATTGAAAGGTAGTCTTTTCAATGAATAGTGCTAGAATAACTGGATTTCAGTATTTAAAAAATGAAAACCCACTTCACTCCTACAGGTTGGTTGTAGATGTAAATGTACATCTACATTTAAAAACAACAAAACTTCCAGAAAACAATACAGGATAATATCTTCATGATACTGAAATTGGCAAAGAATAAAATGGAACACATTTTATTAATGGAACATATTAATAAAAAGGAATAAAACATGATAACCATAAGGGAAAGTTTTGAAAATTTTGACTATAGCAAAGTCAAGAACTTCAGTACATTATAAAAAAAAAATCAAAGCAAGTTATAGATTGGGATTTTATATTTGCAGTCTGCAATATATACCTGTCAAAGAGGTCACATCTAGAATATACAAAAACCCTTCTACAAATAATAAGGAAAAGACAACCCAGTTGGAAAACAGGCAAGAGATTTGAACAGGCACATTATTAAAAAAGATATCCAAATGGATATGTTTACTTATCCCTGAACCTTACTATGAGGAGGTGTCTCATTGTGGTTTTAATGTGCATTTCCGATTATTAACAAGGCTGAGTATACTGTTTCTTAAAAATCATGAGAGACCAGGTTTTAACTTGTACTAAACATTGGTGAGAATGTGGAGCAGCTACAGCCTTCATAACCTGCTAATGGGTATGTAAGGTGGTATAACTACTTTGGATTACAGCTTTGTATGGTCTACTAAAATTGAAGCTACACATGCCCTATGATCTAGAATCCTTACTCCCAGATATATACCCAAGAGAAATGTGGGCACATATGCTCGCTGTTTGTAGCACTGTTGTTCATAATACCCCCAAACCAACAGAGCCCCAATGTCCATTACAAGTAGAAGCTGATAAATAAATTATAACATTTTTATAGTTACATATTTTATAGCAATTAAAATGAACAAATTACAGCCACATACCATGACTGATTTCACAAATATATGTTTAAAAGCACAGAATATATTCTATGTAGTTCAGTTTATGTAAAGTTCAAAAGTAGGCAAAACAAAACTATAGTTTCATGTGTATATTTTTGTAAATATAAACTAGATATTATATATAGGTATATATGTGAATACTTAAGTTGAAAATTATAAAGGAAAATAGGAAGTGATTATACTAGAAGGCTAATGGTTACCTTTAAAGGTGGTGATTAGAAGGGGACATGAGTGGGGCACCTGTGATACCTGCAATATAGTATTTCTTGACCTGAGTGGTATCTGCTTTGTGATAAATCACTGAGCTATATTTCTTTGTTTCTGTACTTTTCATAAGTATAATTCCTAATAAACAATTTGTTTAAACATTTGGTTTGTTTCTGGTCATGTGAGCTATAGATGGTAGTATGTTTTGGTAGATTTGAAAAGTGAGCACAAATAATTGGCAAAAAAAGAAATACATCAGTGCAACAGAATAAAATCCAGAAAGAGACCAAGTGATTGTTGACAGAGAACCAAAACCATCCAGTGGGAATAAAGAAAAATTCTTTTCAATAATTTGTGCTGTAATGACTTGGGATCCATGTAGAAAACAATAAACCTTGACCTCTATCTCACTTAATACACTAAAATTTAATTCAAAATAGATTGTAGACCTAAACATGAAAGTTAACATTTTAAAGTCCTAAAAGAAAACCAGACAGTATCTTCATAACCAGAGAATAAGGCAACAATACTGTAGGGAGACTCCAGAAAGAAAAAGGAAGCAATGAAAATATTAATAAACTTGACTTCATTGATATTAAAAATTCTTATCAAAAGACACAGTGAATAAAATGAAAAGGCAAGCCACAGTCTGTAAGAAAACATTCCCAATGTATATCTGACAAAGGACTTGTATGCAGAATATATGAATAAATATTTTTAAAAAAAACAGTTAAAAATGGGGAAAAGACTTGAGCAAACTTTTCTTTTTTTTTTTTTTTTTGAGCAGACTTTTCTTAAAGCACGACATATAATGGCTAAGGAACATACGGGAAAATGTTCAACATAGGAAATAAAAATTAAAATCACACTGAGATAACAACTTTACGTCTGGGATGGCAACAGTTTTTTTTTTTTTTTTTTTAATAAGGCTGACAACTCCAAATAATAGAATGTAGAACTGAAATTCTAATACAAAAGGTTTGGTGGTAGGTTTTTTTTTTAACAAAAACAACAAAAAATATATATGCATCTACTCTGTGACCAACAGTTCTACTCTTCGGTATTTAGAGAAATTAAAATATATGTCTTCAAAAATAGTTGCATATAATTTTAATTTTCATATTTATTCACAAAAGTAAAAAACTGGAACCACTTCAGAAGTAGAAGAATGGATACCCAAACTATGGTATAGCCATACAGTGGCATATGTATCAACAATAAAAAGGAAAATAAAACCTGGTAAACATAACATAGATGAATTCCAAAAACATTATACTGAGTTAAAGAGTCCCGAAACAGATGACTATATATGATTCCAATTATATGAAGTTGTAGAATAGGCAGACTGGTTTACAGTCACAGAAACCAGTGGTAGGGGTTGACTTGAAAGGGCAAGAGGAAACTTTCTAAGATGATAAAAAAAAATGTTCTATATTTTGATAGGTGTGTTTACATGATTATATACTTTTAAAACTCATTAAACTGTACTGTTTTATGAGTGTATCATATATAATATGTAAATTTTTCTCAATTTAAAAAGTAGCCATGATTCTCCATGTGGATCCAAGTATCCTCACCCTTTGAAATACCACTTTGTGTCTCCTTCCATGAAGAGGTATACTCTTGCCCTATCCCTAGAATCTGAGATAGCCTTGTGACTTGCTTTAGCCAGATTGAGTGTGGCAGAAAAGAAAGCATGCCACTGTTGATCTAGGCATCAAGAGCCTGTACACTTTTGCTTTCTCTTAAACCCTGTTCAGCCACCATGGAACGATTCCTTGCTAGCTTTCTGGATAATGAGAGTGAAGCAGAGATGAGCTGAGGTTATCCTAGATCAGCCAGCCTCCAGCTAAACCTGCAGCTGATCAAGATACATGACTGGACCTAACCCATACCAAAAGAATCACCAAGCTGAGATAACTAAGATTTGGGGAGATTTCTTATGTAGGAAAAGCTAAGGCTTAGAGTCCAGGCTCTGTAGTAATAAACTATAGCCCATGGGCCAGATATAGCCCATCACTTATTCTGAACCTTTTATTCAGCATTGGAAAGTGGAACATAAATTAATCTTGGGAGAGGAACACCTTTTATAATCAATAGCCAAAGAATTTATATTAATAAAACACCACAGTTACAGGAATACAGCCTGTCAATAGGTTTTCTAAAGTAGTCTCGAAGTTTACAGGGATGGCAAGTCATATTCCATTTGTACACAGACATCAGGTTAATTCCTCTGTGAACCTTTTAAGAAGAGGGAGAAGGAAATGAAACAACTTTGTAACCTAAGTGAGAAAAGGTATCCTCAAATTGCATGAAGATATAAAATGAGATTACTGTACTATTTAAAGGCCAGACTGTACAGCTTTTTGTATCAAGATGGTTAAAAAAAAAAAGCAAAGAGCTAAAATACCCCAAAATTTCAAAACAGGTGCTGTATTATCAGTTCATTGTTAACTTTGGTTTGAGTTGATTGTTTTCAACTAATGAGAGTCTCACTTCTAAATTTTAATTTGTTTTATTGTTTTTTATCAGTTGTGTTGTGTGTTGTTGTTAACCCTGCAAAGTACACTGTTGAATATTTGCATTGATATTCTGCTCTGTGCTTTTTCTGTAGCTAGACTTGACCCTTATTCATCATGTCAAATACACTTCTGCTGCTAAAACAGTTGTACATATAACACCAAAAACGTATTTGTCCAGTAACACTTGTTTCTCATCACCAAGTTCTTTTTGTTTCAGCAAATGTATTTGGGATCATAGAGGCTGGCTCCCTCTACTGGAGCATTTCTATTCCAAGAGCGAAGCACAGTCTGACACACAGCAGCCAATAATAAGTAGTATAAGTAGAATGAGTCATCACCAAATTCTTGTCTGCTAAAAAGTGAGAACAACAGGAGTGGTTGGACCGTGAAGTCATTTTTTCCCAACCAGGTAGATCATGGTCAAAAATCTGGCCCTAAAAATAATGAAGAGCAGGAAAGCTGGTATAGGTAAAGGAAAAGATGTGGCTCCAAGGACTGCCTTCCAGTGGGGAGACAAAAGAAACTTGAACCATGCGTGCAAGCTTAGGGGGCAACCATGAGGAAGCAAGAGACTGAAGATGCAGGGGAAGGGAGAATAAAAAGGTGAGTAAGTTTCCCAAAGATAGGTTAGAGAGGCATCATGCACCCAGGAGTAATAGAATCTTTAGCATTATATCTGTGGTGACACAAAATAATCATGAACTATATAATGACTTAGAACCAAGGTGCAGATTGGAGTAGGAAATGGCCACCCACTCCAGTATTCTTGCCTGGAAAACCCCATGGACAGAGGAGACTGGTCCATGGGTTTCACAAAAAGTCAGACATGAGCACAAGTTGTAAATAAGATGTTATGGGTTTTGTTAAAGTGTGACCATGCTCATTATTACTTTCAATGAGAAATCCAGCTTTGCTGGATTTGAGCCTAGATCTACCAATGAATAATTTGAAAATATACAATAAAATCTTACTGCTTTATTTTGAAGTCATATTCAAATAATGGTTTTTCTCCAGATTGGACCCCTTTGAATCCTGAGCCAATGTACATCCCCACGGGCCTGGAGATGGAACCCCTTTATGCAAACTCCAAGGAAGAAACTGTGGTTTATCTAGCCGAAGATGGTGGGTACATAATGAGACATGTTGTGATAAAATATAATAATTTGGTGTCTGGGCTAATCTATTAGTTGTATTTGTTCTGCTGTGTATAGGGGAAATTGCCAATTACCAGGAAATCCCTGACTCCATAACCATGTTTGGTTAATATTGATCCAGATGTTGATTCAGTGCTAATTGTATTCTTGAAGGTGCATACTGCAGTTTATGCACAGTTATTTTATTTTATTTTTTTTAAAGGATTTTTTTTTTAATGTGGACCATTTTTTTTTTAGAAGTCTTTATTGAATTTGCTATAATATTACTTCTGTTTTATGTTTTGGTTTCTGGCCAAGAGGCATGTGGGGTCTTAGCTCCCTGACCAGGGATCAAACTTACATCCTCTGCATTGAAAGGTGAAATATTAACCACTGGACCACCAGGGAAGTCCCCACAGTTATTTTAAAATGAAGCATCATGTTGACCATGAGAATGAAGAGTTTTATTGAGATGGAATTAAACTTTACATTAGTTTTCAAAGATATATCTAGCAGAGTGCTCTGCACCTGTCTGTCTATAGATCACATTCATGCAGTCTTTCAAATGGTTTATTTTCATTTCATGCCAGTTTGATGCATGGCTTGGGATTGCCAAAAAAAAATCCCACATCACAAATACTATCCAAGATTATATCTCAGGAAAGTGTTCTTAACACTCAGGATTAATAATTGGCACTTTGAGAGTTCCAGTAATGTAAAAATCTCTGCTTTATGGTCAGGTGTACTAATAATCAAACATAGAAGTCTCAACCTGTATTCTAAACTGCTGCTCCTGAAACCCTAATGTCAGGAAGTATGGGACTCCTGTACAGTTTCACCATCACATTTGTATATCTTAGAGTATATATTAAAGATAACTTCCAGGGAACATGTATTTTATTTAAAGAGTTGGCAAAATAGAGGAATTCACAGGGATTGCTTCCTATATAGTAAGCAATCATATATTACAGATTACAGAAATGATTACAGAAATCATATATTCATGCATTTTTAAACAACTAAGGTGAGAAAAGCACCTCTAATTTTTTCAATTTGATTTCAAATATTTAGCCAGCTAACCTACCTTATAACTTCCACACATAACTTAAATGAGATATAATATAAAATTAAAGTAGCTGAGGTGAGTCAGTCAAGGTCTTGTCAGGAATTGCATGGCAAACTTAATTTAAGAAATTTTAATGAAAAGATATCCTATAAAAGGGTGGACAGAATCAAGGGAGACTAATAAGGGATGGTGAGACAACACTGAGTTGTCAACAGAAACAGAATCACTGTTTCTCCTCGACATGAAAGGGAAAGAGAGCAGACTGGTGTCGAGACCTGTAGCTGTAGGAGAAGGAAGTCCCCAAACAACTGGACATAAAGAATTTGGGGTTCACATTTTTTCTTTTAAATATTTTTATTTCTTTAAAGATATTGTTCCATTATCTCATGACTTCTGTTTTCTTTAAGAAAAAGTCAGACATAATTTATATCATTGTTCCACATTATATATGCTGTGTCTTCTGTCTGTGATTTGCCTAGATTTGGTTATCGTTGCATTTATCCTGCTTGGAGTTTGCTGAACATCTTGGATCCATAGTTTATTAGTTCTGTCTATCCAAATTTGAAAAATTTTCAACCATTATTTCTTCACACAATTTCTCCATGATATTTTCTTTTCTGTCCTTTGGAATTTCAAGTATAAATGTGGTAGATTTCTAGTTATGTCCCACATTCACTGGATCTTTGTTCTTTTTTTTATCTCTGGTCTTGAGTTTGGATAATTGTATTCATTTGTTTGTAAGTTCACTGAGTCTTTTTTTTTTTTTTTGCAATATTCAATTTCTCTTAAACCCGTCTGGTAAATCTTTCATTTCTGTTATTATACTTTTTATTTTTAGAATTTTCATTCTTTTTATAGTTTCCTTTTTAAATTAGATGATCTGTTTATTCATTATCTTTTCCTTTTAACATAAATTCAGAGTCTTTCTCTGTTAATCGTACCATCTGAGTTATCTTTGGGTCTGTTAAATATATAAATATTTATTGGATCACATTTCCTCATTCTCTGTATGCTTCATAATTTTTTTTAATCACATGTGGGAAATTGTGAAAGACATGTTTTGGAGTTTTCTTTTTTTAAATTGCATTGAATTTTTTTCTGGTAGGCAGCTAAATTGCTGACAAATCATTTTGCTTCTTTTAGAATTGGTTTACTTTCTCTATAAAAACAGATCTGTTTTTATTTTGTCCTTCATTCTAGGTCATGACCCTTCTCCTAAATGTGGTTTTTATGCCTAATGTTCAGCATTTCTAGAGTCACAGTTGAACGCCTGCCGTGCTCAGTGAAGCCTTTCTATTTGGATAAGGTGGAGTTTCAGTCTATGCCAGGATGTTTATCCTCTGCTGTCTCAGGAGCACTCTGTCCTGTCTCCTCAGCCTTACCTGTGCTTGTACAGCCATGTCTGCAGCCAGGCAGCCACCATGTGGACTCCCGAAGCCCGCCCTCTATGTAGCTTCTTCTTCTAGTACTGAGGGTGCTAATTTCAGCAGCCCTAGGCAGCAGTTGTGCCTCCTCAGCTCACCAAGACTGTTATGCTATCCTTAAGTGTCATCTTTCTAAGAAGTAAAAAATACTCCCAAGAAGAAATCTAATGTAGTTCTAATCTTTGTGTTGTCTGAATGCATGGAAATAGTTAATTCGTTTTTTTTTTTTTTTTGGTCCAGTTTTATAGTCATTTACAGTGAAAAGACAGTTTCAGGGACAATTACTTCATTATAACCAGAAGTAGAATTCATGTATTTCTACTGTGAGAAATACATGAACTTATTTTAGGCATTGCTTCTCTAATCTAACTACTCAGGCTTTCTTATTTCCACATAAACCTATATGTCAGTAAAATGTATAACCCCTAGTGACACTTCAGTTATACTGTAGCTTCAAACTCTATGTAGAATAGCCTATAGACTTTAGATATGGCTTGAACATCTTTATGGTCTCTCATCAGCCTACAAAGAGCCGTGTTTTGTGTATTCCCGAGTTGGGGGCAACCGGACACCCTTGAAGCAGCCTGTGGATAACTGTGACGATACTTTGATGTTTGAAGCAAGGTTTGAGAGTGGTAATCTACAGAAGGTAGTCAAAGTGTAGGTTTTAATTATTTTTATTTGAGGAATTAGACTATCAACTATTTCCTGTATTAGGTACAATAGTTTTAGTATCCATTGCTGAACTATAATTCCTTGAAGTGTAGATGCTAATTAGAGATTATCGTAAGAGGGTAGGTATGGAAGGTTCTGGATTCAAACAATTTTGAGAGCTATGAATTAAAATTCAGCAGGTTTCTGTAGTGTACATTTTTAGTATGCCAGTATGAACTGTTAAACACACATGAACACTGCTTCTCCAACTTTTTAATGGAATAGGTCTTCAGATGAGTGTTCTATAAAACATGCTTGGGAATATGCATACAATTCAAGGATATTCTTTTTTTTTTTTTAATTTTATGATTCTACATATACTTATCACCTAGATTCAATAGCTCTTCAGGTTTTGCAACATTCATTTCACCAATTCACACAAACACATATACACACATAATAAGTGTGTAATGCTCATAGAATAGGAAGTTACTTGGTAAAGAAAAAAGTCACAACTAACCAGGTAAAATTGTTGTATATATAAGTAATGTACTAATGAAGTTATATTTGCTTTTATTTAAGTATCTTCAGTGATTAAGTATGGGGAATGCAAATAGTTATCAAATATAGTTCCTGTCCTCTCAAAGAGTTTAAAATTTTATAATTCATATGCTCATAGTAATTTATATATGTTTTTAACCTTTGTTAGTGATATGTATTTCAGATCTCTAGAGTTAGAATCTAATATAAAACAAATGTCTGAAGTAAAAAAAAAAAGACACGACTTTAATTCTTAAAAACTTAAGAACTCTTTAATCACTTATAGGAAACATAACTGGGTTGAAATACATAATTTTTTGTCAAATGCCCATTTTTTTAATGTGCTCTCTTGAATTGCAGAGGGATAAAAAGGCTTCAGAATTAGCATAGAATCAGTTTCACATCCAATTAAAAGAGAAAATTTCAAAACATCGATCTTTTGCAATAACTTGGTGTTAGATACTACTTAATAAACACTGTTTCCCAAATAAAAAGCTTTCCATGAATAGGTAGGTTATTATTTGTATATTTATTATTACTTTTATTATTTAAAGTTGAATGTCATTTTTACATTTTTATGTCTCGCCCCCTCTTCCTTTTTCTGTGTATTAGGGCAGAATATGAATACCAGCTGACTGTGCGACCTGACCTGTTCACAAATAAACACACCCAGTGGTACTATTTCCAAGTCACTAATACTCAAGCAGGAATAGTCTACAGATTCACTATTATCAATTTCACCAAGCCTGCTAGTCTTTATAATCGGGGTATGCGCCCACTGTTTTATTCTGAGAAAGAGGCCAGCGCTCATAATATTGGCTGGCAGAGAATAGGAGACCAAATCAAGTATTATAGAAACAACCAGGGGCAAGATAGGCACCATCATTTTTCACTTACATGGACATTTCAATTTCCACACAGTAAAGATACCTGCTACTTTGCTCACTGCTATCCGTACACTTACACAAACCTGCAAGAATACCTGTCTGGCATCAATAATGACCCAGTACGGTCAAAGTTTTGTAAAATACGTGTCTTGTGCCACACAATTGCTAGGAACATGGTGTATATTTTAACGATTACTACCCCCTTGAAGAACAGTGAGTCAAGAAAGCGGAAGGCCGTGATTCTGACTGCAAGGGTACATCCCGGAGAAACCAACAGCTCTTGGATCATGAAAGGCTTTCTAGATTATATTTTAGGAAACTCAAGTGATGCAAAGTTGCTTCGGGACACGTTCGTCTTCAAGGTGGTACCCATGCTGAATCCAGATGGTGTGATTGTAGGAAATTATCGTTGTTCCTTAGCTGGACGGGATTTAAACCGTAACTATACATCTCTCCTGAAGGAATCATTTCCTTCTGTCTGGTATACCCGGAACATGATCCGGAGGTAAAATAAGCCTCAAATTACCCTCTGCTTATTTAGTAAACTTGATAGTAAGAATTTTGCTCCCACAATCCCACTTACTTTACTCTTAACTTTCCTTAAGATAGTTTAACTTTAGCTGGTTAATTTTTTCCCTCATTCTTCCCAACTCTGCTTCTATACCTTTCTGGCATTATGCCACTACATTCACTAGCTTTCTTTTAAATAACAGCATTTTAATAGCTTAGTGAAACTTAAATTTGCCTGTCCTAAATTTGGTTTCTTCCTAAAGCTAATGATGTTTCTTTTGGAATCCTTGAGAATCCCTCATTAATTACATCTAGAAAATTAATTACATCTAGAGTCTTGAGTACTGCATTGACCACACATTGCTCTGTGATGAGTCTCTTAGGATGATGATAAGTTTGCATACCTACTTAAGCTTTCATGAATAGTCTTGTTTGCCCCTAGAAAAAAATGAACAGCTTTAAATTTTCTAAAGAATCAGAACAGTAAAATGCATGTAATATTTAAAGACTTGTTGGATTACTGGGTGAATTCTTTAATAGATTCAAGTAATAACAATCAGAAACAGGCATTGCTAGAGTAGAAAGATTTATTGGAGTGAAACAATACCCATTCCAAGTCCAAAGCCTCTTAACTTTTTTGGTTAAGAATGTGGAGACTGAAATGAAAACACATCAAATGGGAATCCCTGCTCTGTCATTTGGTAACTGTGTGATCTTGAGCAGTTTAAAAACAAACCCAAACCTCCATTTCCTCATCTATTTGTAAAGTGGGAATAGTAGTACTTACCTCACAAACAGGAGGATTAAATGAGATTATTACTAAAGTGCTCAGAATAAAGTGTCCAGTATTACTGGAATATTGTAAGTTCTAAATGTATTCATTGTTTCCTTAAATGTAAAAAGAAAAGGAGTTAATGAATTAGATATAGATGTAAAAACTCTTTGTAAACTTTTTAGGGTTGTTCAAATGTTGCACTGATAAGTACTGTTACAGTGTTTGTATCCTCACCCAGCTCTGTCCCCAGGGCTACTAGTGCAAGTGTCAGAGCCCTGTTTCAAGAAGGAGCATCTCAGGGATACCTCCAGTCCCTTAGAGGAGCTGACAGGCTTCCGAAGCTCCCAGCGCGACTCTAGTTGTCTGAGTTCAGCCTCAACTTTCAGTTAATCCTTTCATCTTAGACACATGGAGAGTGAAATGCAGATTCCCACAAAAAGGAGTGAAAACCCTGGTTTTATACCCCTCACAGATGTGGACTTCAGGATTCTCTGAAGTTACCTGGGAAATATTTAAGTGATAAAGAATAACCCATGAGTGACTTAGTTTCCTGGGGATGACAGATAAAAGAGCTGAGTAAATGCAATGTGGTATCTTATATTGGATCCTGGGACAGAAAAAGGACATTATTGGGGAAATTCGTGAAATCCAAATGTTCCCTAGTTTTTGACAACATTTCATGGTTATGTGGTTATGTTAACATTAGGGGAAAATGGACCAAGGGGTAGCCATATGGACTCTCTCAACTTTTGGCAATTTTATGTAAATCTGAATTTATTCCAGAATTTAAAGTTTATTTTTAATAGAAAGGGAACTTTTGGAGCCCATTTGAGTATTTATAATGTCTCCTTAATGCTCTTTGACATTAAGGGTGCCTGGCCCAACACAAGATGGATTACAGCCAAAGCCCCTTGGCTTGTCTCTGTGAAAGATGTTTATCTTAGTTCTTCTTAAATTGTCTCACAAGAAGCTTTAGGCAGGAATCCATTCATTAAATTTCGGAAAGACTTGCAAGAAAAAGAACTACCTTAATGGCATTAATCACAGGCAGTAAATGGAATAAAAGACAGTCACATATGTGTGGATAGGTGAGCAGCTGAAAGTATGCCTAAGATTAGATATATTTAAAGTATTTGAAAATAATAGATTTTAGTATAGGATACTTAACTGTGGGTAAGAAAAAAATCTGAACTGTTTCTAAAGGGATTCAGTGTAAGATGAGAGACCCTGTTACCTTGTTTCACTTCAAAAGTAGTAATTAATATTTCTTTGGGATTTAATTACTTAGAGTTTCTTTTGACTCACTTAAAAGAAACCAGATGTTCATTAAAACTAGGGAAATGATTTTAAAATGTATAGTTTTATAATCTAGTACTAAAAACTTGCAATGATCATTTGAAGGCTTTATGTCAGTCTTATGTTATCAGTTAGAATTTATTGGTCATCAAATAAAAAAGGGCAATGAACTAATATATATATCAGATTTCAGCTTGGAATTTCACTATAATTTTAAAAAGTACTGTTTTGAATAAAAGCTACACTTTGACTATTTTGATTTTAAGATTTAATATTATAAAAGTAGTACATTTCATATTAGTACAGATTGTTAACATTTGTATTTATCCTTCCAGATATAACAAACAGTGTATGTAATTTCAGTTATTTAAGTAGCCTTATGAAGTTTGGAAATATGAAAATCAAGGCAAAAATGCCCATAATCCTACCACTTTAATACCACCACTTTTTCACCTTTTGAAAGCCTACTAGTTAATTTCATCAACCAGTTTTGAGGGACTTATTTTTTATTACTTTAATATTCACTGAATGCCTAAATTATACAGGCTAAAAGAACTGTGCTCTTGAGAAATGATTTCTGTAAGTTATTTATTAGAAATATAATCAATTCAAACTTTGGTACCATTTTTCTCAAAATGGTATTTATTCACATTACTCAAAGGGTAAATGTTAACTGGCTTCAGCATTGAGTCATCAGGCACAAATTTTAATACATATTTGGGTACTGTTTTATGCATTGCACTGTTTTAGAAATTTTGAAGCATTCCCTTTCTATAACGAGATTAACTATGGAAAATCTAAAAATTTGTTTAGGTAAGTATCAAGTAAACGGTACCAATATTAAATACTACAGGAGTTCAAAGAAAAGAAAAATTTAGTGGGGAGCCTCACTAGTTAGAGAGGAAGTGTGACCTGAGGTCAGTGTTGATGGATAAAGGGTAGTATTTGCATTTACAAAGATGAAGAAGGAAGGTATTTTTAGAAAGAATCTAAAAGCTAATGGGCAAAGATAGGAGTGAGTTGTTTTCAGTGTACAACAAAAAAACAACCAAAAAGCAGAGAAATCCTGTTGGAGAAATTCTTGGAAATAAGGTAAATTTTGTCTTTATAGTAGAAGGCTAAAGCATTCACATTTTATATACAATTAATAGGAGCTTATTGTAGGTGTTTAAAAAATTATATATTAATATGCAGAAGAAAAGAAAACTAGGATATAAGAAATGCTGTTTATTTGGATGTTAGACTTATTAATTCATAATTACAACCACAGAAGAAAAATGTAGTGATAAAATGCAATAACTTGTTCTTTTTTTCTTCTTGGTAGATTGATGGAGAAACGAGAGGTTATTTTGTATTGTGACCTTCATGGCCATAGCAAGAAAGAGAACATATTCATGTATGGCTGTGATGGTAGTGATAGATGTAAAGCATTATACTTACAGCAACGAATCTTTCCACTTATGCTGAGCAAAAATTGTCCAGATAAAGTAAGCACCTTTAAGATTTTGACTTTTCCTTTACTACATATTGTCCATGCAGGACAGTTGAATGGATAGACTTATTCAGTAAACTGCTTTTTTATTTAGTTTTTTTGACTGGTTTATACAGTTGACCATAGAAAGCAATGATGTGAAATGTTTAATAACCAATAATTTGAAATATGAAGGGAAAAATGCTCACTAGCCTACCACCACACTTGATGATAAAAGACTTGATTGTTTTTCTCTTAAGGTCAGGGAACAAGGCAAGGATATCCACTCTTACCCCTTCAATTCATCCTTATACTGGAGGTTCTAACAAATGCAGTAAGGGAAAAAAAAGAAATAAAAGGCAGACTAGGAAAGGCAGATGTGATTGTCTTCACAGAAAATCCATGCAATCCACAAAAACTATAACTGAGTGAGTTTAGCAGTGTCATAGGATACAGGGTCCATCCACAGAAGCCAGCTGCAGTTCTGTATACTCACAGTGAACAACTGGAAACCAAAATTTAAAACAAAACCATTTACCATAGGTCCAAAATACGCAGAAGACTTGTGACTGCAAATGGATGGCACAAGGGAGTTTTTAAGAGGTGATGGAATTGTTCTATATTCTGATCTGTGGAGGTGTTTTATCAACTAAAAAAAATGCACAACGTGAAAGTTGCGAGTGAGTTTTATTTGGGGCACTATGAAGACTGTAGCCTGGGAGACAGCAGATCAGATAGCTCTAAGAAACTGTTCCAAAGAGGTAGGGGGAAAGGATACATATGTGTGATTTTGGTAAACAGGAAGTGCATGCAGTCAAGCACATATTTGTAGAAAGTTTCTGCTGGTTTTGTGAAGCTTCTGCTAGTCTCGAGAAACAGTCGTCACCATGAAGGATCTTAGTGCTTTTCTAGATACGAGGAGATATAAGAACTGGGCTCGTAAAATCAGCTCCTGACAGTATCTAACTATCTAAAGACCTGTCCTGCCAGTTTCCCATAGTGCAGAGTGTCTCATTCTTGCTTTCCACCCTGAACTCCTTCAGGGGGAGTACTGGAGGGCAGAAGCTGCTGTAGCACATGACTTCATCCTTATAGAGGTAGATGGCAGGCACCCATGGCAAGTGCCAATTCGTTGACAGTTTTCACAAACCTTTACATGTATTAGGGCTTTCTTAGTGGCTCAGTGGTAAAGAACCTACCTGCCAACGCAGGAGATGCAAGTTTGATCCCCGGGTTGGGAAGATTCCCTGGAGAAGGAAATGGCAACCCACTGGTAAATCCCATGGACAGAGGAACCTGGTGGGCTACAATCTGTGGGGTCACAAAAGGGTCAGACCTAGTGACTAAACAACAACATACATGTGTTAACAGTCACAGGATGGAACACAAAGTAAGTTTTTTCAATCGTATGGTAATTACAAAAACTCATTGTAGATACTGATGTTATAACAATCAGGGTAATTTTCAAATTATCTTTCATGTGATAATAAAGCATCTTTATTCTAAAAATCTACAACACTAATCTTCATTCCTAAATATATTTAGACTCCTTCCTGTAACTTTTTAAAGTCAACACTATCAAGAATTAGTCAACTGGGTTTTGAATGCATGTTTTTTATATATATATATATATGTGTGTGTGTGTGTGTGTGTATATATATATATATATAAAGTAAAATTTATTTCAGAATTCAAGCCTATAATTCTCAGAAATGTAAATATGTCATCCTTAAAATGAGCTATTTCCACTGATCAGGAAATAAAAGCAGCTCCAGAAGCTTTTATTTTAGCTTTAGAGAGAATTATGCTTTTGCAAACCTACTTTTTCATTTCTAACCCCACTTCCTATGACAGACATTGTGATTAGAAAAGCAGTGGGTCTCATTTTTATTTGCTTCTTTTCAGTTTTCATTCTCATCCTGCAAGTTTAATATTCAAAAGAGCAAAGAGGGAACAGGAAGGGTGGTAATGTGGAAAATGGGAATCAGGAACAGCTTCACCATGGAGGCCACTTTTTGTGGATCTACTCTGGGTAAGATTGAGGGCCCTCATTCATGACTGTCAGAGATTTAAACCAAAGGAACACATTCAATGTAAGATTCATAGTGTTTGACAACTGGATAGTGAGCACTTTCTTCCTACTTAGATATATACCAGTAATCTAATCAATTCTATAAATAGGATGAATAAACAAATGCCTACTGTATGTATCTCTATCGCATCACTTTCCTTTGTTGAGAAAAGGAAGTTTTAGCACATATATAGTATACCTAAGTGGTTGTTTCATGATCTGATCTTTAATTGCTTGTTTGGGGTTTTTCTTTTAGAAGAGTTCCTTTGACTGTAATGATTTCAAGAAAAAGCAATGCTCATAATTAAAATATCAGAATAGAAATATCTTTACTAGATTTGCTATTTTTAAGACAGAGTTAACTTGGCTTTGGTTTTGTTTTTTTTTAATTGGTTCCTTGAAGTAAAATAAACGTGTGCTCTAGTTCCATTTAAGGAAGCTTTTAGTCACATTTAACATATCCTTAGAATGCCTCATATTAGGGTAACTCACTTATTAGAAAATGTATCAACTCAAAGGAAAGTGCCAGAAATCCAGACATATTACTTCTGGCTAATTTTTTAGCACCTTGAAATTGATATAACACTGTTAATGATGATGAAACCATTAAATATTTCTGCAGGTTTTTCTCTAAGTGATGATTAGGGTGCTTATAACTAGTAACCAAGTAGTCCATAACTTTCTGACTGAATTTTCTTCTGCTTTGCAACACAGATTAATCTGTGTTCATTTAAATGTCACCTCTGGTCCAGGTAGTGGAGAGGGAACAAGGGTAAATAGTTGTTTAATGACCTGCCCCAGTGCAGAAGATCCAAATGACAGAATATGGAATCATATCAGGTGTTTTGTTTATACTCTGTTTTGCAACTTAGGCCTTCCTGCTAAGAAAAAAATGTTTAATTCACCATCAAGGGTGGATAAACTTATTGATGTTTTAGGTAATAAAAGAGGCACTCATTTCAACACGAAAGACTTGGAGTCAATGGGATATCACTTTTGTGATTCTCTCTTGGACTACTGTGATCCAGACCGAACCAAGGTAAGTAAAGTCCATTTGCTCATACATTAGACTCCAGATGCCCAGATAACATCACCTGCCTTTGGACCTGCAGCAGTTTGTTTCTTCTAACATCCTGACTGTTCATTCAGTGTTTTGTTGTACTTGATGTTCCAGGTGTCTATAAACATTCAGTTACTTTAATTAGGAAATAGCTATTTATAATTAACTTACCTATCATTTCCCCCTAGTATTATCAGTGCCTGAGAGAATTAGAAGAAATGGAGAAGCATATAAACTTGGAAAAAGTCATTGATGATTCAGATACTTCTCTGAAAGAAATTACATTGGATCTAGAGACTAGGTAGGTCAAGATAGTGAAAGTAATGTAATTTGCGGTGTTATTCTACCATGCTGTCTAGTGGTTAGGATTCGACTCTCTCACCACCACGACCAGGGTTCCATTCCTGGTTAATAAAGGCCTGTTTTAACAATTCAAGGATGTAATTGTCAGTCTGTACTGAAAATCCTGGCTAGAGATGGAGGAAAATTTTCCCCATGCACATTACTTCAGCCAGACCTCATCAAGACTTCATTTATTCAAATGATATTGAGTATCCACTATGTACTATATATGAAAGGCATACTCAAATTGTTTTTAATGCTGTCATTACTCACAGAGAATTGACACATTTATAGACACCATATAAATACTCTAAGTTAGTGAATAATAAGTGCAAAACTTAATGCCAAGGGAATGTTACTGGAAGAAGGAACGTACTAATTTTAGTGCAGTTCCTATAGGGAAAACAGAACAAATGTTTGATTCTTAACCTTTATAAGTTTTCAGACTTAGAGTTAGTGCCCCTGCAACCTCCAATGGTGACTCACAAGTTTGTTTGCAGATAGAATATCATTTTGAACTCATGGATTTGTTTATATTTGACATGATCCAATCAATTTCAGTCATCATTCCTCTAATACTCTCTTCTAAAGCCTAGAACTATCAAACATCTACACCACCTTTGTAAACATCCTTTTTATAACTAGAATTATTTCTGCCATTCCAATAACATAATAAAGTAAAAGTAACAGTTGAAGTTTTAAAACACCACCAAAACATTATGTAAAGTAATTTATTATTTTTTGTAGTAGCCATGCCTCTGACAGTTCAGAATCCAATGACTCTCAGACTGATCTTCTCAAGTTAAATTCTCAGGTACGATTGAAAATTTATGCCTGTGATATGGATATGCCAAATAGGTACTCTTCTTACTATGACTAACAACCAGGCCAAAAAAAAGTCTGCAGTTTTATAATTAATTGTATAGCATAATTGTTATTTTCTTATTATGGATTCCATATCTTTAAATCATAGAATTTTCTAATCTAGAGTTTTTTAATACTCCTGCTTTATTGATGAGAACAATTAAGATCCAGAGAGATTAAATTACTTTTCAAAAGCCATACTACTTGTTAATAAGAGTTGGTAGCATAACATACATTGCCTGACTGTTAGTCCTATATTCATTTATTTACTTACTTAACAACTATGTACTGGGCTCTGACTTCATGCTTGGGAATAGATCAGTGAACAAAATTGGAAAAAAAATCCTTCTGATCATAGCTTATATTCTGGTTGGTGAGTAAAATGTGAAAGTCACTCAGTCCTGTCTGACTCTTTGCGACCCCATGGACTATATAGTCCATGGTGTTCTCCAGGCCAGAATACTGGAGTGGGTAGCTTTTTCCCTTCTCCAGCGAATCCTCCCAAGCCAGGAATCAAACCGGGGTCTCCTGCATTGCAGGTGGATTCTTTACCAACTGAGCAAGTAAAATGTATGATGTGTCAGATGATGAGAAGTGCCTAAGGAGGAAATGAGAGCAGGAGGAGGAGTAGGGAGTTTAGGTGGTATTGTGTACTGAATGTTTATGCCCCACCACTGAATACACATGTTGAAACCCTAGCCCCCAATGTGATGGTATTAAGAGGTGACTAAGACAAGCTTGAACTGAAAGGGATGGAGACATAGAATAAAAGGAAGGCTATCAGAACTTCTTGAATTTTATAGTATGGCTTCAATACTACAAAGCTCTGCAGCTGAGAAATGTGTAATGTTCTTCAATACAAGTTTGACGAGTCTTTTGTTTTTTACTGTAGTATAGTTGATGTACAAAGTTACAGGTATACAGTATAGTGATCCACGATTTTTAAAGGTTACACTCTATTTACAGTTATTATAAAATATTGGTTATATCCCCCATGTTGTTGAATTATCCTTATAGCTTATTTTATGCATAATAGTTTGTACCTCTTAATGCCCTAGCCCTGTATTCTCCCTCTTCCCTTGTCTCTCCCCATTGGTAACCACTTGTTTGTTCTGTATATTTGTGAGTCTGTTTCTTTTTTGTTATATTCACTATTTTCACATTTTTTAGATTCACATACAAGTAATGTCATTCAGTATTTGTTTTTCTCTGACTTATTTCACTCAGCATAATACCCTCCAAGTTCATCCATGTTGCTGCAAATGACAAAATTTCATTCCTTTTATGGCTGGGTAGTACTCCATGCACACACACACACACACATTTTCTTTACCCATTCATCTGTTAATAGACACTTGATTGCCTCTATATCTTACCAGCTGTAAATAATGTTGCTGTGAACATTGGAAAGAATGTGTCTTTTCAAAACCAGTGGTCTTTTATTTTTTCTCAGATATATACCCAGGAGTGAAATTGCTGAGAAACCTCCATACTGTTTTTCTGTAGTGGATGCACAGATTTACATTCCTACCAGTAGTATATGAGAGTTCCCTTTTCTCCACAGTCTCGCCATCATTTGTTATTTGTGTTTTTGATGATAGCCATTCTGACAGCTGTGAGGTTCATATTTCATTGTGGTTTCCCTGATGATTAGCTATGTTGAGCATTTTTTCATGTGCTTGTTGGCCATCTGCATTTTCTCTTTGGAAAAATGTTTATTCAGTTCTTCTACACATTTTTTAAATTGGGTTTTTTTTTTAGTTATATGGCAGTTTATATATGTTTAATATTAACCCTTATCAATTAACATCATTTGTAAAATATTTGCTCCCACTCAGTAGGTGGTTCTGTTTTCCTTTGCTGTGCAAATGATTTTAATTAGATCCCATTTATTTTTATTTCCTTTGCTTTAGGAGATAGATCTAAAAAATATTGGTACAGTTTATGTCAGACTGTCCTGCCTGTGCCTTCCTCTAGTAGTTTCATGGTTTCTGGTCTTACATTTAGGTCTGTAATCAATTTTGAGTTTATTTTTGTATGTGGTGTTAGTGAATGTTCTGATTTCATTCTTTTACGTGTAGCTGTCCAGTTTTCCCACCCCTGCTTTCGGAAGAGACTGTTTTCCATTGAATATTCTTGCCTCCTTTGTAATAGATTAATTGACCATATGTGTGTGGGTTTATTTCTGGGCTCTCTATTCTGTTCCATTGGTCTTTGTTATTTATTTTTGTGCTAGTACTGTATTTTGATTACTGAAGCTTTGTAGTATAGTCTGAGGTCAGGGAGCATGATTCCTTCAGCTCTGTTCCTCTTTCTCAAGATTGTTTTGGCTATTCAGGGTCTTCTGTGTTTGCATACAAATTTTTTAATTATTCTAGTTCTATGAAAAGTGCCATTGGTATTTTAACAGTGACTGCATTGAATCTGTAGGTTGCCATGGATATTTATGGTCATTTTAACAATATCAATTCTTCTAATCCAAGAACACGGTGTATCTTTCCATCCGTTTGTGTCAGCAAGATAAGTTTTTAAAAGCCCCAAAGGGACTAAGAGATCATCAGGGACGCTAACGCCTAGGTTTTAACAGGGCAGATGGCTTCCATTGAAGGCCATGCAGGTAGGCTGTCTGGAGCTGTGCACTGTGGTGTGGACAGAGTACTGACAGAGAGCCAGGTATGAGTGGCAGCCTGCCAAGCTGTTGGATGATACTGCCACCCCAGTGGGTACAGAAGGCAGATCACGGAGGCACGAGGATTATTCATGACCATGAAGATCTCATTGAATCTGCTTTACTAGGTTTTGCACTTGCTTGAGACCCATCACCTCATCCTTCTTTGCTTTTTCCCCCTTTTACAATGGGAATGTCTATCCTATGCCTGTCCCTCGGTGGTACTTTGGAAGTACATAACTTGGTCATGGTTTCACAACTGGACAGGAAATTTACCTTAGGATGAATCATATTTTGAGTTTCATCCATATCTGATTTAGATGATATTTAGCTAGGACTTTGGAGTTTAGAGTCGATACTGGAATGAGTTAAGACATTAGGGGTTGTTGGGATGGAATGAACTTTGCTTTTGAGAAGGATGTCAATGTGGGAGGTTTGGGGTGGAATGGTCTGGATACTTCTGTCTCCCAGAAGTCATATGTTGACATTATAATGCCAAGTATTATGGTACTAGAAGGTGGGGCCTTTGGGGGGTGATTATGTCATGAGGGCCGAGCCATCTGAATGGGATTAGTGCCTTGTAAAAGAGGGCCCAGACAGATCCCTAGCCCCTTCTGCCTTGTGAGGATGCAACAAATAGTCCACAAACCAAAAGGAAGCTCTCACCTGACCATACCACATCCTCATCTCAACCTTCCAGCCTTAGAAATATGAGAAATAAGTTTCCTTTTTTATTAGACACCCAGTCTGTGGTAACTATTTTGTTAGAGCAGGTGAATGGACCAAGACAGATATTGTATTCATTTCCTCTTGCTGAGTAACTAATTACCCCAAACCTCTGCAACTTAAAATGACAAGAATTTATTATCACACAGTTTCTGTGGATCAGAATCCAGGAGTGACTTACCTGGATTCCTAAGTTCTCTGAAAAGACTGCAATGAAGGTATTGGTGAGGCTGTAGAATCATGAAGGCTTGACTGAGGAAGGATCCAGTTCTGGAGTTCACTTGCATGGTTGGTGATAGATTCAGTTCCTCCCAGGCTGCTGAGCTGAGGGACTCAGTTCCTTGTTGGCTGAGGGCGGGAGTCTCCCTTAGTTCCTTACCATGTGTGCTTCTTGCATGACAGCTCACAGCACATATCTGGCTTTCAACAGAATGAGCAAGTAAGACAGCGGAAGAGAGCACACAGGCTGGAGGTACAGTCTCCCTGTAGCCTCATCTCAGAAGCAGAATCCCATCACTTTTGCCGTATACCATTCATTAGAAGTAAGTCACTAGGTTGAGCCCAATGACCTGGGACCACAGAAGAGTATGAATGCTAACAGACGGGGATCATCAGAGGTCATCTTAGAGATTGTCTACCACAGATGTAGAAGCCATTAATATTGATTTGACCTTTGCCTCAAGGCTATATTGAAGCCAACCTACAAATTCTAGAATTTGGGGCTGTTTTCCCTCTCAATTCCATTTTTTTATCCAAGTATTTTTGAGCTGATTTCTTTCTTGTAGGACCTTATCAAATGAAGCTAGCAACCACCAACTCATACTGTATAAATTTTCTGCCTCAAAGTCTCTTTGTCCAGTGACTAAGGTTTGTTAGGCACATCTTCTCTCACAGAAGACAGTTTCACTAAATGTGTCATCTCTATATAACTTGTGTTTTCTGCCTTCCTATAACCACATGTTATTTAGACCAAGCCAATGATTGCCACATAGTTTAGGTTTTATTAGGACAGCATCCTACTTTTAGGTTATCATTTCTAAACTATTCATATCTTACTCATTAAAACAATTCTCAGAATGTCAATAGCTTATATTAGCAAATATCTTTTTTCCTGTTTTGGGGTCATCCATGGCTATGTTGGACTTCACTGGTGGCTTAGACGGTAAAAGCATCTGCCTACAGTGCGGGAGACCTGGGTTTGATCCCTGGGTCGGGAAGATCCCCTGGAGAAGGAAATGGCAACCCACTCCAGTATTCTTGCCTGGAAAATCCCATGCCGGACACGACTGAGTGACTTCACTTTCACTTTCACTTTCATGGCTATATTGGACTGACCAGGAGTCCACTGAACTCATGTCCAGACTGTGGGCTGATTCAGATCTGGTCTACATTTCTTCCTTCTCCATAGACACCAGCAGCCAGCTGGGGCATGTTCTCTCATGGTAAATCACCAAGAGTTCAGGAGGCACACCAAACCATGAAAGTATGTTTAAAGTTCCCATGTATCATTGCACTGGCTAAATCAATTCCTATGTCCAAATCTAACATGAATGGAGTAGGAGAGTAAACGTATTCATTCCTAGAGTAGGAGTACTAGAAGTGCAAAGGCCATGAGGAAGGAACACGTCTGTTATCTTGTAGGAAGACCAAGGAAGCTAATCTGGGTAGAGAAGATTGAACGAAGAGAACAGGAGTGAGAGAGAATGTGAAATAGGTATTGGACATTGGGGAGCAGGTGGAATAGCTCATGTAAAACCTGGCTTAGGACTTAGTTTTTACTCTTGAGTTTGGAGAGTTTGGGTTAGAGGAGTAACATGATGGGCTTTGTGTCAGCAAGGTCACTTTGGCTGCTGTGTTGAGAGCAGAACGATGAACCATGAGGGGAAACCACTTAAGGGGCTGCTGCAGTTACCCAGGCAAGAAGCAGTGGTAGCTGGACCGAGGTGGTAGCTGTAGAGACAATGAGACGAGACCAGATGTTAGATATATCTGACAGAGTCTAGAGCATTTGCTGATGGCTTGGGTACAAGTTTGAAAAAACACAAAGGACAGAAAGAGGTCTCCAGAATTCCAGGCCTGAGCAACAAGATGGAGCTTCCACTTAGTGACATGGGGATTGTTTTCTTCTCTACCTACTATATCATATTCTGAGGGTGTGTATCAGAAGTCCATCCATTGCAAAGAACAAAAAAACTGTTCCAAAAGATGGCTTAGCTAAAAGGGGAATTGGTCAGTTTAGTAAGGGAAATAGTCTAGAGACAAGGGTGGCTTTAGCCATGGCTTAAATAAGGGGCTCGAAGAATGTCACCAGGATGCAAAGTTTTTTTCTCCATTTTAATGTCATTTCTGCCTCTTCTGGGTTGGTTCTATTCTCAGACTCTCCTCTCTTGCCGGCAAAATGGAATTTTAGCCTCCCATTCTCACAATTCTAAGTCTGGTATATACTCTCTTTTCCAGTAGCCCCTCAAAAATATAGAAATTGATTCTTTTTTTTTTTTAATTGTAGTAAAATTACACATAACATTTACCGCCTTAACCATTTTTAAGTGTATAATTCATTGGTACAAGTACATTCACACTGTTGTACAACTATCACCACCATCCCATAACTCTTATCATCTTGAAAAGCAAACTCTATAGCCTTTAATAACTCCCCATTCTCTACTCCCACGTCTCTTGGAAACCACTGTATACTCTTCTTTCTTCATGTATTTTGCCTGTACTAAGTACCTCATATAAGTGGAATTGCACAGTGTTTGTCTTTTTGTGATTGGCTTATTTCATCGAGCATGATGTCCTCAAGGTTCATCTATATTGTAGCATATTTCAGAATTTCTTTCCTTTATAAGGCTAAATAATATTCTATTGTATGTTTACACTGAATTTTGCTAATTCATCTCTCTGTATACACTAAGGTTGCTTCCACATTCTAGCTGTTGTGAATATGATCACACATCTCCTCAAGATGCTGCTGCTCTTCATTCTTTTGGGTGTATACCCCAAAAGGAAACTGCTGGATCATATGGTGATTCTACTTTTAATTTTTTGAGGAACCTCCACACTGTTTTTCACAGCAGTTATACCATTTTATATTCCCACCAACAGTGCATGCAGGCTCTAATGTACCTACATGCTTGCAAGCACTTGTTATTTTCTGGTTTGTTTGTTTGTTAATAATGGCCATTCTGACAGATGTGAGATACCATCTCACTGTGGCTTTGACTTGCATTTCCTTAATGATTAGTGCTGTTGAGCATGTTCGTAAGGGATACTGGTCTATATAGCTTCCTTTTCTTGTTTGTAGTGTCTTTGTTTAGCTTTGGTATCAGGGTAACTCTGGCCTCATAAATTATAAAATGTTCCTTCCTCTTCAATTTTTAGGAAATGTTTGAGAAAGATCAGCATTAGTTGTTCTTTAAATATTTGGTAGAATTCACCAAACAAACCATCAGGGCTTTATTGTTAGTTGGGAGAATTTTGATTACTGATTTCAGTCTCCTTAACTAGTTACTTGTCTATTCATATTTTCTATTTCTTCATGAGATAGTCTTGGTAAGTTCTGTGTTTCTAGGAATTTATCCATTTCATCTAGGTTATCCAATTTGTTGGCATACACTTTTTCATAAGACTTTGTTATTATAATCCTTTATATTTGTGTAGAATTGATACTAAAATCCTCACTTTTATTTCTGATTTTAGTAATTTGCCTTTTTTTCCTTAGTCCATTTAGCTAAAGATTTGTCAATCTTGTTGACCTTTTGATTCATTTTCTTTAGTTTTTCCATTTCATTTATCTCTGCTCTAATCTTTATTACTTCCTTCCTTCTGCCATCTGTGAATTTGTTTTTTAATGTGATCACAGATATAAATTTCCTCCTCAGTGCTACTTATGCTGTGTCTCTTAAATTTTGCTCTGTTGTGTTTTCATTTTTATTCAACTCTGTATTTTCTAATTTCCCTTGTGACTTTGATCGATTTTTTTAAAAAGTGTGTGCATAATTTCCACAAGTTTTTGAATATTTTAGATTTTCTTCTGTTATTTATTTCTAACTTCATCCCATTGTGGTCAGAGGGAGATACTTTGTATGCTCTCTATCTATTAAAATGTATTAAAACCTAACTGGTGGCCTAACATATGTTTTATCCTGGAAAATGTCCTGTATGCAACTGAGGAGAAATGTATACTCTTGTTGTTGGGTACAGTGTTCTGTGTATGTCTGTTAAGTTTAGATGACTTACTGTGCTAAATCCTTTTTCCTTACAATCTTCTGATTGGTTCCATATTATTGTAAGAAGGGTATTGAAGTCTCCTACTATTATTGTAGAACTGTCTGTTTCTCCCTTCTGTTCTATTTTGCTTCATATATTTTAATGATCATTAGGTATGTAAAATTTATAATTGTTATGTATTCTTGCTGTATTGAATTTTTTATTAACCTATAATGTCCTTTTAAAAGTAGTTTCCAGTAACGTTTTAAAATTTAGTCTGTGTTTGTTTAATAGAGCCACCTCTGCCTCTTTGGGTTACTGTTTACATAGGATATCTCTTTCCTTTCACTTTCAACCAGTTTGTGTGTTTGGATCTTTGTGAGTCTTTTAAGACTGCATATAGTTGGATATAGTGTTTTTATCTATTCTCCCAATCGCTCTCTTTTGATTGGAGAGTTTAATCCATTTACAATGGAAATAACTACTGATAAAGAGAGACTGACTTCTGTCCTTGTGCTGTTTTCTATATGCCTTATAGTGTTTTTGTCCCTTCTTTTCCTGCACTACTGTCTTCTTTTGTGCTTAGTTGATTTTTTGTGGTGAAATGTTTCAGTTCCTTTCTTATTTCCTTTTGTGTATGTTTTGTAAGTCATTTCTTTGTTTTCACCATGGGAATTACACTTACTATCCTAAAGTTATAACAGTCTAATTTGAATTTATATCAACTTAACTTCAAAACATACAAAAACTGTTCTTTATAGCTGTACCCCCACGCTGTCAGTTGTATATGTCACAGAATTACATAGTTATACATTGTGTGCCCAAAAACATAAACTAATGTTTTCTTAAGTGTATTAGTCTCCTAAATTATGTAACAAACAAGGTTTGCTGTTATAGGGCTTGTCTGGTGGCTCAGACAATAAAGAATCTGCCCACAATGTGGGAAACCCAGGTTCAATCCCTGAGTCGGGAAGATCCCCTGGAGAAGGACATGGCAACCCACTGCAGTCTTCTTGCCTGGAAAATTCCATGGACAAAGGAGCCTGGTGGGCTATAGTCCATGGAGTCACAAAGATCAGACATAGCTGAGCGACTTAACACTTTATAGGCCAAAGAAATAGTAGTAGTAGCTTTTAGACTAATAAATGCTTTTTTTTTCCTTTTTTTCCCCCTTAAACAAGGAAAACTAAACAAGGAAGGGCTTCCCAGCTAGCTCAAATGATAAAAAATCTGCCTGCAATGCAGGAGACCTGGGTTCAGTCCCTGGATTGGGATGATTCCCTGGAGGAGGGCATGGCAACCCACTCCAGTGTTCTTGCCTGGAGAAGCCCATGGACAGAGCCCAGTGGGCTACCATCCATGGAGTTGCAGAGTTGGACACAACTGAGCAACTGACACTTTTTTTCATGTAGATGATAGAAAATTCAGTTTGAAATTATTATTACAATAATACTAACATTCATAATTTCCCATGTATTTATTACCTTCATTTAGACCTTTATTTTTCTCTACAGCTTCTTCTACTGCCTAGTGCCCTTTCATTTAACCTTCCAGAAATCCCTTGAGCATTTCTTTCAAGGCATGTCAAGTGGTCACAGACACTCTTAGCTTTTGTTTATCTGGAAATGTCTTAATTTCTCCCTAAATTTTGAAGGACAGTTCTGCTGGGTTTTTTTTGTGTGTTTTTTTTTTTTTCCTTTATATTCTGCATTGTCTTCTGGCTTCCAAAGTTTCTGAGAAATTGGCAATGATCTTATTGAGGATCCCTTGCAGGTAACAGTTTGCATCCGTCTTAACTGCTTTCAAAGTTTATGTGACTTACTGTGGGCATTTTATTTTACTTGAAGTTGACTGAGATTCTTTCTTGATAGTTACCTTCATGTCTCTGATCAAATTTGGGACGTGTTCAGGCATTTTATCTTCACTCATTGGCACTTCTGGGTTTCTGGCTTCTCCAGCTCTAAGGCTGGGGTAGATAAGGCAAAAAGAAAACACAGAACTACTCACCATCAGGCAGCTCTTCTGTTCCTGAAGTCCCTCATCATCTGCCTCCTTTTCCCCTTTCAGAGCCTCTTGTGTTTACTTTGTATGTAACGGCCCGGGGTTTTAGTTGTACTTAGTGGAAAGAAGAGAAAAAGTACTTTATCTTCCTAGAAGTCTCAAAATAGTTTTATATCTGCATATGTACTGTCTTTGATACATTGATTAAATATGAATCTCTTACCTAGATAAAAACCAAGAAAATACAACTAAAAACAAAGAAGGAAAGAAACTCTACCATAGCAAGACATCAAAACATCAGAGAAGAAGAGCAAGAGGTAAATATTCATTGATATGTTTGCTAACGGTTGTTTGAAAAAAACAAGAGAACGGCAAGTTACACGCTTACACGCTTAATGATTTTTCCCCAGGAAAACTTAATGATTAAAATTTTGCTTATATTACTTACTATTTATAAAAATACAAAAGAATCTTGACAGGTGAGAGGTGGGTCTTAAGGTTCTGTATTTAAATTTCACTTAGAATTACCTTACTCAGAAAACTATTTAAGGTCTCTTACAAAGAGGCATTCAAGATAGCAAGAAGAGATAAAACTTAGAAAACTTAATGGGAATACAAGAATATAAAACAGGTGGTGCTGAGATTGCCTTTCATCATGACAGCAGGAGGAGCTCTGCAAACCTTTCACCAGCAAAAATTAGTGAAAATTATTTTTTTTTTAATTTAAAGTTTCTGCAAATGGTCCTGGGGCATACAGCAAATGAAAAAAACATCTACTCAGAAAAATCTAAAATATGATAAAAACAAAAAATAACAACAACAAAAAAAAAAACCCCCCAGAACCTCTGATATTTGAATCAAGACTCTGCCCATCCCCCAGCCCCAGCTCACTGATACTCTGCAGTGGAGGGCACAGGGTCCCCTCTCCCCCCAGATACCAGACAAAGGGCTATCATATACCAGGAGGAGCAGGGCACTAGAATTTCTTACTCTGTCTCCAGCTACCTATTGCTAAAGCTAAGTTCCAGGTAAGTGCAGCCAAGAGGTGGGGGCTCCTTCTTTCTATCCAGACCCCATTCTTGAAAATAAGGCTCTAGTTTGGATGCTACATCACTGAAAATATATTGGTCCTAACTGCCCCTATCTTGGCTAATAAAGTGTTAGTTCCACACTGGAAGAAGCACATAGAGAAGACCTGAGACTACTGCCCTACTCCCACCTACATCTTAGCTCTGAAAGTGGGGTACCACTGAAAGAAAAGTGCCACTGTCCCCCTCTCAGCATGACACCCCCGTTAGAAATTTTGCATAAGTGCAGCAAGATGGCAGAGTAGAAGGATGTGGAGCTCACCTCTCTTCACAAACACATCAAAAATAAAACCACCTGTGGAACAGTTCTCACAGAAAACCGACGAGAAACGGGCAGAAGACCTCTTATATTGTACAACCGAGGCTGCATGCACAGTAGAGCAGAAGCTGTCAGCACCTGCGTGTGGGGCGCGGGGACGGTGGCGAAAAGACCTTGTTGGCATGCACACCAAGTGGCCTCCCAGAACCGCACATCTCTAGCAGGCATCCCTAGGAGGAATACAGAGCGGCTCCTTTCCCTGTGAGAGTGATCTGGTCCTTCCCACCTCACACCCCAGCTTGGAGCTGGATGGGGGCTGGAGAGGCCCTGGGGGGCACTCCCACAGAGGCAGCCAGGGCCCCGGCAGCAGCAGAGGGACCTCCATTCCTGCAGCTACAGCACCCCAACCTCTCAGCCCCGGCCTAGAACTAGTCTGGGACAAACACAGCAGACAAGGGACACAACCTCGGGCTGCCTCTGGGCAGAACTGCAGGCAACTTCACTGGCGACGCACAGGTACGCTGTGACCACATGGGCCCCACTTGCTTCAGCACTCACCTCCTCTGGGACAGAGCACATAGTTAAGGGCAGCAGAGCCTTACTGAATGCAAGTGATCTGGAAGACAGAATAATGGAAATCACCCAATCAGAAGACAGAAAGCCAAATTGAGAAAAAAAAAAGAAAGCCATATACAAAAGCTATTGGATATTATAGAGTGCCTTCTCAGTCGTGTCTAACTCTTTGTGATCACATGGACTGTAGCCCATCAGGCTTCATCTGTCCATGGAATTCTCCAGGCAAGAATACTGGAGTGGGTAGCCATTCCCTTCTCCAGGGGCTCTTTCTGACCCAGGGATCAAACCTACATCTCCTTAATTGCAGGCAGATTCTTTACAGTCTTAGCCACCAGAGAAGCCCCATGAAGAATGCCAGCCTATGCATAATTTTGGTACCAGAAGGATAATAGAGAAGAGGATCAAAACTGTTTTTAAAGATATTATGGCTGAAAATTTCCTAGAATCTAAAGAAGGAAACAGATATCCAGGTACAGGAAGCATAGAAGGTCCCAAAGAAGATAAACACAAGCAGACACAGACCAAGACATAGTTAAAATGGCAGAAGTTAAAGAGGATTCTCGAGGCAAGAGAAAAACAGTCAGTACATGGAAACCCCTATAAGGTTGATTTCTCTGCAAAAGCTGTGCAGGTCACAAGGGAGTGTCATGATATAGTCTAAGTCCTGAAAGAGAAAACCCTGCAACCTGGGACACTCCAGCCAGCAAGATTATCATTTAGAGTAGATGGAGAGAGAAAGAATTTTTCAGACAAGCAAAAAGTAAAAGAATACAGGAACACTAAGCCGAACCTAAAAGAGATACTGAGAGATCTTCTCTAGATAGAAAAGAAGCAAGTATCTATAGGAAAGGGGAAACAGGAAAGGCAAATATATAAAAAGATTGAACATTACTTAAGTTAGTACATAGATTAAAAGCAATCCAAAAAAATTGTAAAAGCAACTATAACTACAATTAGTGGTAAAAGGATAAGCATCAAAATATAAAATAGACCAAAATCACAAAATGTAGTGGAGGGGAATATAAAAATGTAGATCTTTTAGAATGTGTTTGAACTTGTATGACTATTCATTTAGAACGCATAAGATATAGTTATGGGTTAACACTTGAAAACCAAGGTAACCACACATCAAAAAGGTACAATAGATTCACAAAGACCAAAAAGAAAGGAACTCGAGCATAATACAGAAGAAAGCGATCAAACCACAAAAGGGAAAACCAAAAGAAGAAATAAATAACTATAAAAACTGGAAAACAAATGTTTAAAGTGGCAGTAAGTACATACTTTATTAATGATTTCTTTAAATGTCAATGGACTGAATTCTATAATCAAAAGACTGACTGGCAGATTGAATAAAAATTACCACCTACAAGAGACTCACTTTAGGAGAAAAGATACAGATTAAAAGTGAGGGGATGGGAAAAGGCATTTCATGCAAATGGAAACAATAAGAAAGTGGGGCTAGCAATACTCATATCAGATAAAACAGACTTTAAAACAAGGCCATAAGGAAAAACAAAGGACATTATATAATGATAAAAGGAATAATATAAGTAGAAGATACTACACTTGTTAACATAAATATACTCAATACAGGACCACCTAAATATATAAAACGAGTATCAGCAGACAAAAAGGGAAAGACCTACAAGAATACAATAATAATAGTAGGAGACTTATTGGCATCAATGGACAGATCTTCTAGACAGAAAATCAGTAAGGCAACAGAGATGTTAGATGACACAACAGACCAGATAAAACATAGCTCCTAATGTCTTCCCAAAGTAAAAGACTTAGTTTGCAACAGATCCTGGAGAAATTCAAGCTTAACACCATTCTCAAAAATTGAAATATAGAGAAAGGCGATTTGAAGAAGATTGGTAGATTCTTTGGAGATATGGACCAAACGTGTAGGCTGGCTAGTTCACAGAGAGGATTGGGGGCAGGGGAACAGGTAGGAGGAGTCTAAGCAGGGTCAGTATAAATCTGAAACCCTGACCTGGCAAATTATCCCTTCAGAGGAACTCAGATTTGATTGAATTAGCCTGTAGAGCAATATATATCCCCAAGGCATTGCTAAAGCAATAGAGCTACCAGCTAGAAATTAGCGGAATTTAACTGCTGTGTATAGTCAGGGAAGGAGTCAGAGACTTCTGCCAAAACCACTGCACTCCCAGAGAGTGTGGTCAGGGATGGAAGGGGTAGGGGGAAAGATTAGTACCCTACCCAGAGATCAGAAGAACTGTCTAGTTAGGAAATAAGCCTGACAACCACAGATGAAGGACAATATCCCAAGTTGATGAGATAAAAAAAAAAAATCCTCCTTGGATCCCATCGGTCAATCCATAAAGCATCTGTTACCTGCAGAGAGCCCAGAAGTCAACCTGAGTACCAGCCTCAGGTTAGAAGATTTCTACTCAAATATTTCTGGTGTTAATAATAGTAATCCAGTGGGAAATCTAAGGTTAGCCATGACAAGTTCATCCAGCAGATACAGCAGCAAATACACTGCCATCTGCCAGATGTGGATTAACAGAATCTACTTTTCCGAGAACTTTTGAATTTTTCTTCTCACTTTTTAATAATCTTTGGTAAAAAGAGTGAACAGCATCATCTTAACTGAGGTTAATGCCTGAGGTCAAATTAAGCTCATGCTCTTCAACTGTTTTTTAAATGATTGCTTGTAAGATATCAATATATCCCCAAAAAAGTATTAAACTATTTTAGTAAGCTTTATTCCCTACCAGAATACTTTCAGTAATTAATCTTGCAGACTTTAAGCAAAAACAAATAATTGTAGATTACTGTGATTAGAATTTATAGATCAATATGGCAGAAACCAACACAATATTGTAAAGCAGTTATCCTCCAATTAAAAATAAATATTTAAAAACAACAAAAAGAATTTATAGATCACATTCATAAAGGACACACTAGGAGTTGATCATAGCTCAGTTGGTAAAGAATCTGCCTGCAATGCAGGAGACCCACATTTGACTCCTGGGTTGGGAAGATCCCCTGGAGGGAGGAAATGGCAACCCACTCCAGTATTCTTGCCTAGACAATCCCATGGACAGAGGAGCCTGACAGGCTACAGTCCATAGGTTCGCAATAGTTGGACATGACTGAGCAGCTAAACCAGCCAACCAACCATAAGGACACTGGCCTGGTAATTTTCTATAAGATGAAGATAATAGTTTTATTATTGTTTATAGCCATATTTCAATCAAAGGAGGAAAGCTAAAAATGACAATGAATTCATCAAATCAAGTCTTATTACAAGTGAATTTTCTTCAGCCTAGTTTTACCCCTTGTCTCTCTAAATTCTTTATGATGATTATGTAATATTGCTACTTTTAACTTTGCTTAATTTTTTCTAGAATACTTCCTTATCTCTTTCCCTTCAATAATCAAGTTTTGATTTTTACAATTTCCTCCCACCTCCCATTTTCATGCTAATTATCTTTTTTTTTTTTTTGACTGCCATTCAATTTTATCTAAAAAGCAGCTTTCTTTATAGTTCAACTCTCATATCCATACATGACTACTGGAAAAATCATAGCCTTGACTAGATGGACCTTTGTTGGCAAAGTAATATCTCTGCTTTTTAATATGCTGTCTAGGTTGGTCATAACTTTACTTCCAAGGAGAAAGCATCTTTTAATTTCATGGCTGCAGTCACCATCTGTGGTGATTTTGGAGCCCAAAAAAATAGTCTGCCACTGTTTCCCTATCATGATGTGATAGGATTGGATGCCATAATCTTCGTTTTCTGAATATTGAGCTTTAAGCTGACTTTTTCACTCTCTTTCACTTTCATCAAGAGGCTCTTTAGTTCTTCTTCACTTTCTGCCATAAGGGTGATGGTATCTGCATATCTGAGGTTATTGATATTTCTCCCGGCAATCTTCCATCAGCGTTTCTCATGATGTACTCTGCATTTAAGTTAAATAAGCAGGGTGACAATATACAGCCTTGACATACTCCTTTTCCTATTTGGAACCAGTCTGTTGTTCCATGTCCAGTTCTAACTGTTGCTTCCTCACCTGCATACAGATTTCTCAAGAGGCAGGTCAGGTGGTCTGGTATTCCCATCTCTT